TTTTTTTTTTTTTTTTCTTTTTCTTTGGGACGGAGTTTCGCTCTTGTTACCCAGGCTGGAGTGCAATGGCACGATCTCGGCTCACTGCAACCTCCGCCTCCTGGGTTCAGGCAATTCTCCTGCCTCAGCCTCCTGAGTAGCTGGGATTACAGGCACGCACCACCATGCCCAGCTAATTTTTTGTATTTTTAGTAGAGACGGGGTTTCACCGTGTTGACCAGGATGGTCTCGATCTCTTGACCTCGTGATCTACCCGCCTCGGCCTCCCAAAGTGCTGGGATTACAGGCTTGAGCCACCGCGCCTGGCTGCCTGTGCTTCATTTTAATGTTTGCTAAGCTTAGTGCACTTGTTACCAAAAGCTTATTCAAGATGGGCTTCTTGGCAGTATTTTTTGGCCCTCATCCAGTCGTACTGTTTCTCTTAGTCCTGGGAAGTGGGTATGAGGTAGGAAGCCTGAGAAACACAAAATAGCAACCTAGGGTAAGGCCTTTTCTCCTACGTGAGCCTGACTTTCCACCTATGATGACATTGTAGTCATTTGCCTCTCAACTGCTTTTGTGAGGTGCGGCTATTCAGCAGAGGTGAAGAGCCTTTGCCTTTCTGTTGGTTTGAAGCAACAAACTCTATTTAGAGCAGTTTAGATAATGAGTAGTCTTTATTTTGGAGGAAATACCCATGTGGCATCTTTTATCAATAAAGGTTGCTAGGGATGGTGTAGTTCATGCATTTTTTATCCAGTTATTAGGAAGGCTCAGATGTGTGATGAGATCCTAAAAAAAAAACTTTAAATACTAGGTCATTTAAGATTTTGCCAGCAGGTGGCACTTCTCTTTACTCACTTGAGTTCCTTAACGTGATCTTAGACTTAAGTCTAACCAGACCCTGACAGGGGCGGTGGCTCATGCCTGTAATCCCAGCACTTTGGTAGGTCGAGGTAGGTGGATCGCTTGAGATCAGGAGACCAGCTATGGCCAACATGGTGGTGAAATCCTGTCTCTACTAAACACACACACACACACACACACACACACACACACACAATTAGCTGGGCATGGTGGTGCACACCTGTAGTCTAAGCTGCTTGGGAGGCTGAGGCCAGAGAATGGTTTGAACCCAGGAGGCCGAGGCTGCAGTGAGCCGAGATCATGCCACTGCACTCCAGCCTGGGTGACAGAGGGAGACTGTCTCAAAAATAAATAAATAAATAAAGTTTAGCCAGACCCAAACATTTCTCTTTCCCTTTGTACCCCTGTAGTCTACAACATCTGTTTATGGATTGTAATATATTTATACCCTCTTTCCACAAGCAATTTGAAGTTGCTTATAACATACAGTATACAATAGTAAATATGTAGAAAAGGAGAATATAAAGAATATTAAATTTGATTCAGGGTTGCAGGCAGCCACAGCAATGAGCAATATGGTTTCATTATCAGGGTTTTGGGCCAATGGGGAGGGGAAGAGAATAACTTTTCTAGGATTTGAAATAAAATGGAACTTCTGACTGAGGGCATTTCTGTTGTGCCTTTCTCATCTCTCTAATTTTTTTTTTTTTTTTTTTTTTTGAGATGGCGTCTTGCTGTGTTGCCCAGGCTGGAGTGCAGTGGCTCGATCTTGGCTCACTGCCACCCCCACCTCCTGGGTTCAAGCAACTTTCCAGCCTCAGTCTCCTGAGTAGCTGGGATTATAGGCATGTGCCACCCTGCCTGGCTAATTTTTGTATTTTTTTTTTTTTTTTGAGACGGAGTTTCACTCGTGTTACCCAGGCTGGAGTGCAATGGCGCGATCTCGGCTCACTGCAACCTCCGCCTCCTGGGTTCAGGCAATTCTCCTGCCTCAGCCTCCTGAGTAGCTGGGATTATAGGCACGCACCACCATGCCCAGCTAATGTTTTGTATTTTTAGTAGAGACGGGGTTTCACCATTTTGACCAGGATGGTCTCGATCTCTTGACCTTGTGATCCACCCGCCTCGGCCTCCCAAAGTGCTGGGATTACAGGCTTGAGCCACCGCGCCCGGCCTAATTTGTGTATTTTTATTAGAGACAAGGTTTCACCAAGTTGGTCAGGCTGGTCTTGAACTCCTGACCTCATGATCCGCCCACCTCAGCCTCCCAAAGTGCTGGGATTACAGGCATGAGCCACAGTGCCTGGCCCTCTCTGACCTAATTTATATATTATTCTTGGCCTGTAAAAACTAAGGAGTACTCACTCCTCTGCAGCCTCCGGGCTATGTAATCAGCATTCTTCAGTCTATCAGTTTCAACTTTTCAAGATGCCACCCTCACCCATTCATTCTTCCTGCATAGATTGCCCTGGGCAGGCTGGGCGTGTGGTTCATGCCTATAATCCCAGTGCTTTGGGAGGCCGAGGCGGGCAGATCACCTGAGGTCAGGAGTTTGGGACCAGCCTGGCCAATATGGTGAAGCCCTGTTTCTACTAAAAATACAAAAATTAGCCAGTCGTGGTGGTACACACCTGTAGTCCCAGCTACTTGGGAGGCTGAGGAAGGAGAATCTCTTGAACCCAGAAGGCAGAGGTTTCAGTGAGCAGAGATTGCGCCACTGCACTCCAGCCTGCGCGACAGGAGTGAGACTCCATCTCAAAAAAAAAAAAAAAAAGGCCAAGTGCTGTAGCTCACGCCTGTAATCCCAGTAATTTGGGAGGCCAGGGCGGGCGGATCATGAGGTCAAGAAATCGAGACCATCCTGGCCAACATGGTGAAACCCCGTTTTTACTAAAAATACAAAAAATTAGCTGGGCGTGGTGGCACGCGCCTGTAGTCCCAGCTACTCGGGAGGCTGAGGCAGGAGAATCGCTTGAACCCGAAAGCCGGAGGTTGCAGTGAGCCAAGGTGGCACCACTGCACTCCAGCCTGGCAACAGAGCGAGCCTCTGTCTTAAAAAATCCCTTTCTCGCTGGTTGGAAAAAGAAGACTTACGTTTACACTCCGACAAAATCAGAAAGCTGTGCCAGGCCATGTTATAATCAAAAGTTAAATCTGGGTGATTGGTCTTAATAGGTTCCTAGAGTAGTTAAAAATAAATCGGTAAGTTCAACTCTTTGAAGTTTCTAACAGGAAACCAGATTGAAACTGTTCCATTACCAATAACGTTTGTATGGGATGGTGTGATCCGCAATAGCGTAGGCAGTGATGGGGGCTGGTATAAAGGTCGGGGGAGAGAGACCCTAAAAATCCACCGCCCTTCAGCCGCAGGGGACTTCATGGTGAATAGCCCAAGGTGCCCATCAACTAGGGCCTGAAGGACCAGCCTCTTGCCCCGCCCATCGCTGTCTGAGGTTAGGACAAAGATCGGGAGGCGAGACAGCGCAGGGGAGGGCGCTCCAGGGAAGCCGACCAGGGGTTGGTTTCTTCAGTTGCGGGCCGCTCCTGGCGCCCGGGAGATGAGACGACGCGAGGCTGGCGGCTTTGTGGCGCGCGGGTTCCAGCGCGGGGGAGGGGAGAGCGGGGGAGCAGACGTCCCCGCTCCGCTACACGCCGCCAGGCTGCGGGCGCCGCGCATGGCCAGCCTCTTGCAGTCAGGCTTCCCGGCGCGCCTGGATGTGTTCCTGCGGCGGCATTTGCCGCCGGAGGTCTACGACGCCGTCCGCGCCTACGAGCGGTGCATAGTGGTGTCCAACTCGGAGAACCACACCCTCAAGTACGTGGTGCTCAGTGACCGGTTCATCTACCTGACCGAGAAGCCGCCCAAATCCATCCGGCGGGTCGTGGCTCTGCGGGACGTCGTGGCTATTGACCTGGTGAGCGGCGCGGGTGGGCAGGCGGTCTGGAGAGCGTAGTGAAAACCCCCGGCTGGGGCCCCCAAACCCAACCCTCCTGCGCGCGGGGAGAAGGGAGACCTGCCCCATCCCGCCCTCGACTCCCCTACTGTTATTTAAGAACGAGGAACACAGGGAAACTGGATTGCTGTGAGCACTCCCAATACAGACACCTTTCCCATGTTCCTCGGGTCTGCCTGTCCACCCGTTCTCCTGCCTCTCCTACCCCACGTAGGGCTACAGGTTTGAGAACCAAGCCTGTTATAAAAAATACACTTTAAAGTTGTTCCTTTGTTAACAAAGCACCTAGTCAGTGTCAGGCACTGTGCTAGACTCGGAGGATGCAAGAAAAAAAAAACAAAACCCGAAAGACTGCCCCTTCCTAGAAGCAGTTGCTGGAGGACTAAAAAGCCAACACCCGTGCAAATAAATGCTGTGTGTTAAGTGCTGCTATGTCTCATTTGCTTTTTTGTCCCCGATGCTTAGAGCATGTTAGGTGCTTAATAAGAATAAATTCATGAGGCTGGGCACCATGGCTCAAGCCTGTAATCCTAACACTCTGGAAGGCCGAGGTGGATGGACCGATCACCTGAGGTCAGGAATTCGAGACCAGCCTGGCCAATGGTGAAATGCCGTCTGTATCACAAATACAAAAATTAGCCGGCCGTGGCGGTGTGCATCTATAATCCCAACTACTTGGGAGTCTGAGGCACAAGAATCGCTTGAATCTGGGAGGCGGAGGTTGCAGTAAGCCGAGATTGCGCCACTGCACTCCAGCCTGGGCAACAGAGTGAGTGAGACACAGTCCCTTCCCCAGCCCCAAAAGAATAAAAGCATGAATAAAAAATGTGTTAATGAGACACGCACAGGGCGCTTGGCAATCTCAGGCGGCTCACTCCAGTCAAACGGGGCAGGACCTGCTGGGAAACATCTTGGAAGGAAGGGCGTTGACGTGGGAGCTGGGCCTGAAAGACGTTGGGCCTGGCGCAGCCTGTCCTGGGTTTTCGTGTTGTACCCCTTTCCTCCTGGAATAGGTTTACCTTGTAAACCAGCAACAGACTGGAAGCACGGTCTCCTCTCCAATTGCTGCTTTCCCCGCCTGGCTTCCTTTGTCTGAGCTGCTCTCCAGGTGTGTTCTTGGTTTTTCCGCTGGTGACAGGTGTCTAGCCTCGTTTCTTCATGCCCTTGACTGAGCCCCAAGGGAGAGGTTCGTGAGAAGCTTGATGGAGCTGTTTTGCTGAGAGAGTCATGGCTTGTTTTGAATGAGTCTGTAAAAAAAGAATTAAATTAAATGAAAAAAAAAAAAAGAAAAGATTTTTTTCTACTCGGAATACCTTTGTGAACTATCACTGTGCTAATTTATTTTCTTCATTGTTGAGAAAAAGTTCGGGGTAAAGAAAACATTGTGTTTCCTCACTACCATTGTTTCCATTCTCTCTCTTCTTTTTTTTTTTTTTGAGACAGAGTCTTGCTCTGCCACCAGGCGCCAGGCTGGAGCACAGTGGTGGGATCTCGGCTCACTACAACCTCCGCCTCCCGGGTTCAAGCAATTCTCCTGCCTCAGCCTCCTGAGTAGCCGGGACTACAGGCGCAATGCCCAGCTAATTTTTGTATTTTTAGTAGAGATGGGGTTTCACCATGTTGGCCAGGATGGTCTCGATCTCTTGACCTCGTGATCTGCCTGCCTTGGCCTCCCAAAGTGCTGGGATTACAGGCGTGAGCCACCGTGCCTGTCCTGTTTCCATTCTCTTGAAATAAAACAATTTTTTTGGAGACAGTCTCACTCTGTCTGGAGTGCAGTGGCACCATCACGGCTCACTGCTGCCTCAACCTCCAGGGCTCAAGTGATCCCACTTCAGCCTCCCAAGTAGCTGGGACTACAGGATCATACCATCACAGCCGGCTAATTTTTCTCTTTTTTTTTTTTTTTTTTTTTTTTTTTTTTGGTAGAGCCAGGGTCTCACTATGTTGCCCAAGCTAATCTCAAACTCCTGGGCTCAAGCGATCCACTACAGACATGAGCCACCGCACCTGCCTTGAACTAAATTTTTTTTTAATTTAAATTTTCTTTACTAAAGGTTTTTAAAAACTTTAGACTGGGCAAGGTGGGCCCCTGTAATCCCAGAATTTTGGGAGGCCACGGCGAGGGCATCATGTGAGCCTAAGAGTTAGAGACTTGGGCAACCTAGCAAAATGCTGTCTACAAAAATAAAAATAAGTAGCTGTGTACGGTGGTGCATGCCTGTAGTCCAAGCTATTTCATAGAGTGAAGTGAGAGGATACTTTGAGTTAAGGAGTTCAAGGCTGCAGTAAGCCATGATCTCACCACTGCACTTCAGCCTGGGTGACAGAGCTAGACTGTCTCTAAACAAACAAAAAACTTCAGATGGGGCCAGGCATGGGGGCTCACGCCTGTAATTCCAGCACTTTGGGAAGCCAAGGCAGGTGAACCACCTGAGGTCAGAAGTTCGAGACCAGCCTGGTCAACATGGTGAAACCTTGTCTCTACTAAAAATACAAAAGTTAGCTGGGCATGGTGGTGCATCCCTGTAATCCCAGCTGCTCGATAGGCTGAGGCAGGAGAATCACTTAAGCCAGGGAGGCAGAGGTTGCAGTGAGCCAAAATTACACCATTGCACTCCAGCTTGGGCAATAAGAGCAAAGCTCCATCTCAAAAACAAAAAACTTTAAATGCTCAGCTTTTTCTATTGTCTTTACTGTAAACATTTATTATTTTGTCAAAAAAAATCATGACTAGGCCGGGCGCGGTGGCTCAAGCCTGTAATCCCAGCACTTTGGGAGGCCGAGGCGGGTGGATCACGAGGTCAAGAGATCGAGACCATCCTGGTCAACATGGTGAAACCCCGTCTCTACTAAAAATACAAAAAATTAGCTGGGCATGGTGGCGTGTGCCTGTAATCCCAGCTACTCAGGAGGCTGAGGCAGGAGAATTGCCTGAACCCAGGAGGCGGAGGTTGCGGTGAGCCGAGATCGCGCCATTGCACTCCAGCCTGGGTAACAACAGCGAAACTCCATCTCAAAAAAAAAAAAAAAAAATCATGACTATAGAATATTGTTACTCTCCTCCAAAAGAGACATTTATGTATGTCAACAGTGTTCTAGATCTCTTGGGGTTGGTTTGGTTGGTAGGTTTTGTTTTTAGAGACAGGGTCTTGCTCTGTTGCCCAGGCTGAAGTGCAGCAGCCTGATCTCAGCTCACTGCAACCTCTGCCTCCCTGGCTCAAGTGATTCTTCTGCCTCAGCCTTCTGAGTAGCTGAGACCACAGGCGCATGCCACGATGCCCGGCTAATTTTTCTATTTTTTTTAGAGATGGGGTTTTGCCATGTTGCCTAGGCTGCTGGGCTCCAGCGATCCACCAGCCTTGGCCTTCCAAAGTGTTGGCATTACAAGCATGAGCCACTGCTTCTGGCTTGTTATTTTATTATTATTATTATTTTCAACCTGTGAGGATCTAAAAAGTACTGTAAAGCTCCTTAGGCCCTGAGCCAATAAATCCTATGAAAAAGGATACCAATTTATTTGTTCATGCTTTACATACAAGATTTACCTTTCAGGCATGAAGAATGTGTAATGTCTATAAATGCCTTGAAGAAATCTAAGCTTTCAACATTGTTGGTAACTTGAATGTCCATCTTACACAATATAGGTCAACTTTAGAAGTTGTGATAGGCAGGGTAATTAAACCTCAAAGATAACCACAGGCTAAATCCCTGGAACCCATGACTATGTTACATTACATGAAAAAGGAGAATTAAGGTTGCAGATGGAATTAAAGTTGCTAATCATTTGTCCTTAAAATAGGAAAATTAATTTGGATTATCTGGATGGGCTCAATGTGAAGACATCTTTTTAGACAGAGTCTTGCTGTGTTGCCCAGGCTGCAGTGCAGTGGTGCAATCTCAGCTTATTGAACCTCCACCTCCTGGGTTCAAGCAATTCTCTCACCTCAGCCTCCCAAGTAGTTGGGACTACAGGCACGTGCCACCACGCCTAGCTAATTTTTGTAATGGCCAGGCTGGTCTCAAACTCCTGTCCTCAGGGGATCCACCTGCCTTGGCCTGCCAAAGTTCAGAGATCATAGGCATGAGCTACTTAGCCCAGCCATAAAGACATCTTTAAAGGTGGAAGAGTCCGGGCAGGGTGGTTCACACCTGTAATCCCGGGACTTTGGGAGGCTGACGTGGGCAGATCACGAGGTCAGGAGTTCAAGACCAGCCTGGCTAACATGGTGAGACCCACATCTCTACTGAAAATATAAAAATTGGCCGGGCGGCGCGGTGGCTCAAGCCTGTAATCCCAGCACTTTGGGAGGCCGA